CAGCGGGGGAGGCCGCGCGCGGCCGCAGCACGCGCCTGACCGGACGCCCGGAGGAAAAGCGAAGCCCCGCCACAGCGGCGGCCCCGGGAAACCCGCCTGTGGGTGCTGCGGCGGTTCTAGGACAGTCTTCGGAAATCATTTTCCTCGAAAAATTAAGCCTGTCTTTCTCAGGGATGCCCACAATACACTGCTGGCTAGTTATTGTCACGCAACGCAGCAAGCCCACAAAATGCAGTAGACAAAACTGGAGCATTTTAACACTTGAATCAACACCACCTTTCTTCCTAACTTCCCATCGTATCTGTAAATAGAAGATGAGCCATTTTAAAAATTGGGTGGTAAAGCAGTAGCAGCACTAAACAAACCTTGATTTTCCTCAAGATTGAGTAAATTGAGTCATTATTAATTACTCAAGTTGTGAGGTTCTTTTAGAAATTATTTTTCATCCTGCATGCGTGACTACAAGGTCTTTTTCAAACTGTAATAATGTTTTATTTAAAAGCAATAAAGGAAAAAGTCCACGTAACTGAAAAAGAAACCCACCATTGGGAACATCAACTATCACTGTTTTATAGCACAGTAACCCACTCAAGAACGCCATCTAGCTACAAAATATATAGACCTTTAAGGAAAAATCAGACTTTCTCAGAATTTGCAGATAAATGGCAAAACCCAAACCTCTCTACATTGACCCCATAAAAAGCAACCAGATCATATGAGAGAAGACAAAATGTTCCTCCTTGTTCAGTCACTTACAGCAATGCATTTCAGCTCAAATATTATTTCCCTTTCTACTTTCTGTATTTAAGGATAGCTTAATAAAATTTGTTTAGTTCCTAGTGGAAAAAAAAAATGAAGGCAGAGGCTTTTACATGTACATGTTTACACGTTGCAAGCAGTATTTACATAATAAATACTCTAAAAAAGCAGGTTAATTAAGAGCTACAGTCCAAAAGAAAACAAGAAAATTGCTGTCTCCATTCTTGTTGGTTTTCAAGACCCCATTGTACAAAGCCCTAAGCAACCTAGTCTAACCCTGCTTTGAGCAGGAGGCTGGGCAGGGCAAGCTCTCATCACGGTCCCTTCCAACCTGTGTTATGGCAGGATTCTCAATCTCAGCAAGACCTAGGTAGGCTCCTGGGATAAAGACAGGACTATAAAAATTAAGAGATCAAAACCAGTTTTATCGTATAGAAACCAACAACAATAAGAAGGCACCTTCAGTTTTAAGGAGACGAAGTTGATTGCAGAGAGATTAAAGACCTCCAAAGAAGGAAAAATGAAAAAGCATTAACGAGCACAACAGAAGAAAGTGAGAAGTATTTTACTTCTGTTTCTAAACTAACCATGCCTACTTAGTGGCACCACATCAGCCACACCTCAGCCACTGTCAACCTAATCCCTTTTCCTTATAGTCTTTTGGTTGTGACATCTAGGAGATGGGCTGTACTATCACTGGGCAGTCTCTGCCCCAAGGGCAAGAAGAAAAAGAAATACTGGCAAAACCAAGGGGAGCATAAAGAAACAGGAAAAAGGAATTATTACCATCTTTACAAAACATTTCATTGACATCCAAAACAGCAAGAGGTGCACATATTAAGAAAACCCAACACAGCACCTCAGTACCTACTGCCCTTTAATCTTGGGGAAATTCCTTGTTAGTAATGGTTTATGACACTAAAAGCAGAATTACAAGTCAGCACAAGTATTTCTGACAGCCACTAGAAACAATGCTAGTGTTTCACAAAAATGTTTTTGGTGTATTTGAGTATTCAGAGAAATGTGATAATCTGGTAAAAATCACATGGTGATTTTGTTTTTACTCTCTCCCCAGCAACATAAACCTTATGTCAATTACAATCAAATTTAATTAAAAGGTACAGGAGCCCAAAATACTGCCTACCTATACTTTTATGAAAATTGGTGGTTAAGAAAAGGTATGCCTAACTAGTGCCTTAACTAAAAGGGGCTGAAGCACAAACTCAGGCAATAGCACACTGGCAAGCCAGCAAACACAACCTGCCAGTACCACCCTGCAGCCCAGCAAAGGCTATCCACTACCTCACCTCCTGGTCACCCAGAACACAGGCACTTGCTGGGCACAGTGTGCGGCAAACTGATAACATCAGAAAAAAAAAAAAATCAAAGGAAGGGAAAGGATACAGACCATTAAACAAATCCCTCACTAGCTATGTTGTACACAAAGTAACTTCTGTAAATAGATATTGAGCAGCCTGAGAACAGATGCGGAGCTGTTGCGTGTTGTGTAACACTAAAGCTTGCTTTCTCTTTTAAGGCCTGTCAGAGTTACACATTTCAAAGTTGCACTTGAACGATGCAACAGAATGACAACTGCTATGGTGCCTTCTTTTCTGTGTTCAGTATTTTTTTGTACTTCCATGTCTCATCTATAGAACAAGACACCACAGTTGGTTTTACTGGCTTTTTTCCCCATTTATAGAGAATCAAGATATTAGCATATATATAACTGTATTAGAATAGCATCTGCATGTTAGCTGAGACTCGGGGACAGGTGGTTTTACTTGTATGTGTTTGATACTTCCCAATGAATTCAATCTACTTTGCATACCACTCATCTCCAGGCAGTCAAGATTTTTTAAGGAATCTAGATTCCTGCCTGTCTCCGGTAAGCAAAACATTATGGTCAACTTCAGAAGAATATAAAAAAACCCAAAGGATCAGGGGAAAATTTCTTTCAGGCTTCAGTTGGTGATCAATATATACTGTGATGCTCATTTCATTTTCGATATTTCCAGCAAGAATAGCTCATCTTAACAAAACAACCACTTTCCATTCCCAATAGTAGAAAATTCCACGGTTAAACATTGGACAAGAGCATACATACTTCTTGTTTAAGATCTGCAACCTACAAAATTCAGCGTTTGTATGTTAAGAACAAAGCCACTGGTCCTCTGATAATCACTCTTAAATCTTTCCCACCCGATCTACCTAAAACAGTGTAGTTACAGTTTTATTTCTTCTGTTTCTGTCTTTTGTGCTACCTAAGGGCAGTAACGGGGTTACACTAATTGTAAGAGCAATATAATAAGCAGGTCACTAAAAAACAACCAAACACCACAACAGTTCTGACAATCACAAAAGGTTATGAAGCGACACTAAAGGGGGAACTGAGCTGATGCCATCTCTGGTTCTGTAATGGTAGCAGAGGCCTTCCAAACCTCAATCTATTCATTTACCTCAACAACTATTCCAAGTCAGCTACCAGACCACAAGCTGCACACCATACCCTATAACAGACCCCACAGTCAAGTTATTTTCAGAAAGATCGTTAGACAGTTATAAAATGATAAAAATTAAAGCTATATATTACTTTAAAATTTTATATATAAACAATACATATTTACATTATTTTATTCATTAAACAATATGTAATAATCTTTATTATTTCTTTATATTTATATTATTTATTATTTTCTAAACATATCTACATCTATCTATATGCATATATGCTGAAGTCCAGGATATTCTCAATCCTACTATGGTCAACACTGAAATAAACCCTTCACAACCAGACTATTTCTCAACACCTTCTGTTACAGAATTGACCAGCAGCACCTCTGACAAGACATGGAAAAATTTGTTCTGGCCATAACGGGTGCCAAGATGAATTATGCATATAACTTTAAACTGAATTTACTAATTCATTAATGTAAAGACTGACGCCTGAAAAGACCATGAAGTTGGATTTTGTGCTCAGATTTAATAACATGCTTTCATATAATTATCTTTTTACATAAACATTAAATATTTTTAAATATAAATTTAGATACCTGATAAGTTGATAAAGCTCCCTACCAAATTCTCTTTGCAAGAAATTCCCTGAACCTCAATTTGCACATGACCTGCAATCTTAAAAAAGAAAAAACCACCACAACCAAAGCATTCTGTAAAAAGTTTTATAACAGATAAGTTGTTCCAGCTTGTTATTTTCTTCAAGTCTTAATTGTGAAATTTCTTCTTCTTCCGATTCCTCTTCCCTGCTGCAAAAGCTGCTTTTTCACTCATGATCTCCTGATACTTCTTTTTATTATATCTGAACAAAATAGATAATTTACTTTTAAGAATGGTAAACCAAAGTTCAGGAAAAGATAACATGGAAAGTACTCTACATACACAATTTGCCAAACTGAGTTCTCTCACGTTTTCCAAGTCAGATTTCTTTAATTTGGTACACTTATGGGTAGGTAAAGGGAAACCAACACTTGGATTAATGACCAATGTAGGTAAATTTGGTTTGGAAGTAGATTTGTTTGAAGAATCATTCATTTTTGGCATAACCAGGGGGTTCTTCATTGCATGTGCAATCACATTTTAGACAGTTTGCTAAAACATCATTACTATCAATTTTGACAATGATACCCATTTTTCTAGTGCCTTCTCAGCAAGCTCAAGATCATCAACCTTACTCTACCCAAGACTGAAAACTGAGATGAGATTAACACTAAGCTACAAACAGGATACACTTACTGAGTTGCTAGCTCCTCTAATGCAGAACCTTACGTACCTGTACCAATTACCACAACAGATCACTACACACTGAGCAGTACAGCAGTACTGAGGCTTAATTGCAACACTCAAACCTAACAAAAATATCTGTACTAATGCTAAAGTATCTGGTTAAAGCCCTTAATTGGCCACAACATAAATTAACTGATGAAATTTCAAAAACATTAATTTTTAAAAATAGTTTCTAATAAACACCTTATAAATCAGGTCGTCAGAAAGCTAATTACGAAATAGCTATAATACCTTGCCTTGCCAACACTTATAATTAATTTATAAGCCTGACAACATTAATATTATAATCCCAAATCATATACTACTTGCGAAAAAACATGTCATTATGTAAAAAAAGTAGTGCAGGTTAACATAATGTAATAACCAGTATCAAAATGGATCAACTAAGGGACCTACTCCAGAAATTGTTGGTTAGACAGATATTAATTAATCCAATCATATTCTTCAAGTAAGACGTCTAGTGCAATTTTGATTCCTATGACAGGTGTCAGACTGGCATGCTTATAAAATGAAATGTATCAACTTTTATAGAATTACAGTCAGCACTTTTTATCAATTATGTCAAGAAAAATTAATCAGCCTTTAAACAACCACAAAAGTGCATGCATCGGCACAAATCCCTCATTCAGAGCCACTGGTTTTTGGCATAAGCCTGTGTAGATACTAATTTTAGAAGTGAACCAGAATAGGGCTGATACGGTATCTCTTCAACACTAACATTATTTTAAGACTGGCTGCCAATAGCAATGACCCAAGTCGGATAAAATCCTTTTATGAAGATAAAAAAATGCTATCTCAGTCTAATCACCCTGTCTCTTAGATCTTAATGTCAGTGCTGTTCAAGTGCTAAAACAGAATAAATGTTTAATTTCAAGTATAAAACCCCCCATATAAGCTGAATAAAAACAACAAAAAAAGCTATATAGTTAGAAATACTCCTCTCTTACATAGGGTATTAGAATTACAAAAACCATTTTTAAATACCTTCTAAACTCAGAATCTGCAAGCAGCTCTTCAACAATTGTTCTCTTCCTTTGTTTCTTAGGGATTCGACTATGGTAAAAGTCTATGGGAGAATCAACCACAGTTCCAACCTAGGAAACAGAAATGAAAACATTCTTACTGTACGGCAAGATGTTGATATTTTATTTTTTTTTTAAATCCTCAGCAACACATGTAAGTAAAGACACCTACAGAGAAGGTCAGAATGGTATCTTCAGAAACTGCTAAATATCAAAATAATCAAGCAATGTTTTATATACAAAGTCACTTTTTGTCTCATTGTTTAATGCACAGAGCAGGGCCTGAGCTTTAAGACTGTAGAGTTTTCAACATTGGACTGCTCCATCAATGCTTGTATTCATAAAAGAAATCCAGTTCTTAACTTTCAAACATTTTCCCAAGGGAAAGGAAACCCTTATGACCATCTTACTCTTTCCTGTCTCTGCCACTGTGATGGTTTTGCTAGATGGCTACACAGCAGTTAATCCAGCACTAATACAAGGGCTTCATCCTGGAATGTATCACATTTTTCCAACCAGCATGTGAGCCAGTTCTGATGATTCAGGTTAGCAGTGGAGATACATGGAGTGCATGTTTCACATAGTGAAAACAGACCTGCACAGATCTCATCATGTACAACACTTCTAAGTTTTTCTATGCCCAGAAACTCCAAAACAAGACCTTTAGAGTGAAGTGGTAGTATTTTGAGAAATGAAAACAATTTTCTCAAGCATGCCAACCATTCAAACAGGCATAAGTAGGGAAGCCTATTTCTATAGTTTCTGCAGTGATTATTTTTTTAATGCAAACTACTTCAAAGCTGAGAGCAACAGCAGCAGAAATTCTGGCTGATCACAAAGCTAGCTAGCTGTCACCATTCAAACTGCATTAGCTAGTAAGAAAGTAAATGCTAATTATTTTCTACACACTTTTTAAAAAAGGCTAATACTTTAAAAAAAGCAGCGAAAAATCTAGTCCACTGAGGGTTCAGAATAGTGAACAAACATCTGATTGAGTCCATATAAGATCAGTTGAAGCTGAAAAACCCCACCATATACACATGTAATGTAGGATTAAGCAGTTGTGAACTGCTTCAATAATTAAGATATGAAATCAACCTAGAGGCTACCTACAAATAGGCAGGGAATAAGAACAGCTGTTCAAAACTTCAGCAGTATAATGCCACCTTCTGCTGCTTCCTTACCTGGAAGTACTTGGGTAGACCATCTCTATCATTCTTCTTATAAAAACGCTTAGGGTCCAACGAAGCTCTCATCTTCAAAACTTTAAGATCATTTTTCAGTTCACTTGTGATTTCTGGGGCTTTCATACCAAACCAACCGTCACCTGTTGTTTTCTCTCGCTCTGCCTAGGATGCAATACCAAGAATAATAAATTTGCATTCAGCAGCTAGGACGGGGTAAAGCAGAGAACTCTCGTTTAGAACATAACTCTGTGCCTTTAACAAGTGTATTTTATGACCCTTATAATAAGAAGGTCATCAGCACTGTATTAATGGCAGATTTGTACCATCTGAGCACACTACCATTTCACTTCACAGTCCTGGTGACTAAAAAGATGGCTTTTCACAGGATGGATCAAAGAGGACACTAAATTGCAGTTCATCACTCCATTCCCAGTGAGGCCAGCATAGGCACACAGTCCCAGAACTGGGCTTTCCAGCATTATCGGCTCTTCACTTACCCTTCGTTGTTTCTTGAGCTGGTGAAGCGATTCCCTGAAGGCTGGGACGCATTCCTTTTTCTCAAAATCTGGCGTTATTATACTCTTCTGCAAGAGCTGTAAGATTTTTTTTTTAACATTAGACAGTCATCTCATCGATACAAACTTTACTGCTTAACCATATTTATAGAACCCACTAAAGGAATCATGCAGAATCTAAGCAAGCATTGTAATACAATACTTGAGCTTCTTTGATCCACAATGGAAGTAGTGGGGATCTTTAAAACAGAACACTGGCCAATGAAAAAAAGCAACTGGCTAGCTCTGGAAGAAGTGAGATAGCAGATGCTCTAGAATAAAGAGGGCTATCATGGACGAGCCTAAGAAAACAGTCTTAATGAAAATAACGCCTTTCTCTTATCTCAAAGCGTGCTTTGGAAAAAAAATTGCTAATTTCTTCTTGGGGAGAGTATAGGCCTTTTTTAACTGAAATTCATTCTCAAATGGACTAAATATCTTGTTAGCAGACCTTCAGCTCGTGTAACAAAACTGTAGGAATAGCCAACTTAGTTGTATTTTACAAGACAATGCTGGTATTTGCACTGCTTTTCAGTTTCTGAAGTGTCACATATATTTGAATTCTTACCACTAAAACGAAACATAAATCTACACTTTGGCCAAAAACAATGTAAGTTCTCAACAAACCATAAAACAGGATCATTCTTTAAAAACAAGGAAGCCTTGTCATTAAATTAACATCTTTGTGTTACTGCAGTGAAGTTAACTGCATAATTGCAAACACATTACCTGGTCCTTCTTTTTCTCCTTCGGTTGTTTAATTACACTCGACCTAGCCTTTTGGTTTTTTGCGTCAAAACTAATATATAAGCCTCCAAGTTTCTTGATATTCAAACCAGGGTCTATACTGCTGGAAAGATGTAAGCTAAAAGATAAAAAGTTAATGATTAGAATATTGTAACAAACACACAGCTAAACCTTCTATTGTCCTCTAAGAAAGATAAACACAGAAATATTTTTCTTCTTCCCACTTAGGTTGTTCTGCAATACAGGCTGGGCAATGAGTGGATTGAGAGCAGCCCTGCAGAGAAGGACTTGGGGGTGCTGGTGGATGGAAAACTGACTATGAGCCATCAGTGTGCGCTCACAGCCCAGAAACCCAACTGCATCCTGGGCTGCATCAAGAGAAGTGTGGCTAGCAGGTCGAGGGAGGGGATTCTCCCCCTCTACTCCTCTCTCATGAGACCCCACCTGGAGTCCTGTGTCCAGCTCTGGGGCCCCCAACATAACAAAGACATGGACCTGCTCAAGCAGGTCCAGAGGAGACCATGAAGATGATCAGGGGGCTGGAGCACCTCCCCTGTGAGGACAGAAGGAGAGAGAGTTGGGGTTGTTCATCCTGGAGAAGGCTCCAGGGAGACCTTAGAGCAGCCTTCCAGTGCTTAAAGGGGGGGGGCTACAGGAAAGATGGGGAAGGGCTCTTTATTAGGGAGTGTAGGGATAGGATTGAGGGGTAATGGTTTTAAACTGAAAGAGGGTAGATTTAGATTAGATATTAGGAAGAAATTCTTTACTGTGAGGGTGGTGAGACACTGGCACAGGTTGCCCAGAGAAGCTGTGGCTGCCCCCTCCCTGGCAGTGTTCAAGGCCGGGTTGGATGGGGCTTTGAGCAACCTGGGCTGGTGGAAGGTGTCCCTGCCCATGGCAGGGGGGTTGGAACTAGGTGATCTTTAAGGTGCCTTCCAACCCAAACCATGCTATGATCCTAATGATTTTAAGTCTCACCATCTAGAAGAAATATATAATTTAGAGGCGACAGAAGATGAAGGGGAAAAAAAAAAATCATGCCATTATATGAAGTGAGAGTTTATTAACAAACAATACCTGAGGAATCACTTCCACAAATCTTTCATATTAACTCTAATGCTGTATTCTTATTTTAGGTATTACTATCTTCTATAAATCTGAATTCTTAATTTGCTTAACCTTCCCAAAAGAACTCATGACCAGCATCCTCCTTCCATGCACTAAGAAGTTTGCTAGCTAAAGAGAAAAAAAACAACCAACACAAAAGCAGAAATATATGGGTGGTAAAAATATTGTCAACTCTTAGTAAAAAGTATGAAGCAGCTAGAATTCATCATTGGAACGTTTAAGTCCTTGTCTGTGTAACAGTAATAGGAATAATGTTATTAAAGATTTTAAAACTCTTATGTTTGACCTTCTATTTACAGACTATATATTTGTATTTTATCATGTGTGCAGCCCCACTTTCCATGTCAATATGACTCGTGATGGGAGTACTCCCTCATTTATTCCACATTATTTAGCACTTAGTATACATATCCTATGCATATACTTGAATGAAACGTAGATTCTTTAGTTACTCCCAGAAAGATACTTACATGTCAGTCTTGCTTTTCAACAAATCATCATCCTCATCTTTCTCATCTTCATCTATCAACTCATCTTCTGCTTCTTCCAGATCTGAGGATTCTTTGCCTTTTTCACTTCCTTCATGTTTACTTTCAGAATCACTACCTTGGTCTACCTGATCTAGATAATACTTCCGGCTGGAACTCATGCCAGGCTCAGTATCAATTACAAAAAGCCCTTCAGCAGGCAGTGAATTGTTTTCTAAAGGTTTGCTGAGGGAAGGAGTCCTTTCATCTGCCTCTTTATAACATAGATTCTCTTCAACTGTACCTATGTTCTCCACATCACTATTTTCAGATTCATCACTTTCATCTTTGTCCAGAAACAATATAATAGAATTGTTTCCACTACTTGATCTTTCACTGCTGTGGGATACCGATTCAGCATATTCTCCTGTTTGGTCTTCACCACTGTCCATACTGATTTCCAGCACCCTGCATTTGCCAACACTATCCGTTCTTTGGGTAACAGTTGTGTCCTTTTGTGGGCTGCTCCCTGCACTATCCTGCCCACCCTTTCTTAATTTATCAGTATGGGTGAAAGATTGCTCTGCATCTGGCTCAGCATCTGCTCTTTTGCATTCCGGAATTTTTTCACCTTCATTTGGTGTTATTTGCCCTTGAGATTCTAAAAATTGTTTGGAACTCATGCAATCAGTCAAAGAAACAGCCATATGCTCTAACTTCCCCACCCTCGCAAGTATTTTACTGTATTCTTCTTGTATTTGGCTACATGCTCCCTCTGAATCATCTACCACAACAGACTGTGTATTTTTTGTTGCTTTTTTCCCAGGCAATTCAGGGTCACTTTGTTTCATTTTTGTAAGACTGCTGGGTGTCTCATCATTCAAAACCTCTTCTTTCACAGCTCCACTCCAGGTTGTATTGGCAAATTTAGAAGAACATTTGCTTTTAGGTGAATTGGGTTCTTTACCATCCTCAGTGACAGAAGCAGCATCTTCTGTGTCAGAGACAAGTTCTGCAGTAGGTCCAGAATCAGAAATTATTACTGGCTCAGATTTAACAGTGTCCTCAACTAAATTATCTTCTGAAACAATTCTATTTCCTTTCCCAGCCTGCTTAGTATTTTCTGCCTGCAATTTCATTTGCATGGTCCTAGTAATTCGTTTGGCAGTGACTGATGATTTCATCGGATAACTTAAGCAGCATGACTCTGCATCAGAAACATCTTCACAAACTGTATCTGGCTGCAATTTCTTTTTGTTTTGCCTGCTTCTTGTAGTCCTGGTAACATTAGGTATCTGGACACCAGAAACAGTAGAGGAACAAGACTCAGATTCAGATACATCATCTTCATCCAGAATACTGCCTAACTTAGTTAGAAAAGCTGTCTTGTCATGCCTTTTTTTGTCAGGGGAATCTGGCGGATAAGGAACTACAATCTGTCGTCTTCTTGTTACTCTTACAATCAAAGGTGTCTGAAGTCCAGACACAGCAGAGCAGTTTGACTCTGTTTCTGACACATTCCCATCAGCTTGTGGTTCAGCAACTGACTGTGCTGAACAAACAGTTGTGTTCTCCTTTCTAGCAATTTGCATTTCTAAGCTATCACTGATATCTGACTTTGTTTCTGCATGTTCCAACTCTTCAAACTGAGATTCCTGAATTACCTCTGGCTTACAAATTAACTTAGTTCTTCTTCTAGTCATCCTCATAGACACAGGAGTATTAACTTCAGCAGATGCCATCTAGAAAAGGAGTAAAAAAAGTGTGCTATTGACAGATAAAATAACCCCATGAAAGGATGCTATACAAATCAAAATCTTTTTATACAAATCAGCTCAAGCTGACAACATATTACATGTCTCTGTGTAGCCCTATCTATGTGGAGGAAGTGTTAACAAACCACCCCTTGCTTATTTGTTTGTCTCCTATCTTTCGGTCAGGACAGGAGAAACACACATATCCATTTAAAAATATAAACAAACACATTAAGAAATATAAACAAATATATTCTAATTCTAAAAAACTCTGGTAAGCTGTCACAGGAAGCAAATCTAGAAGTGATGATGTTCAGAAACATTCTAAGATTTGCTTAACTATAAAAACACTGAAGCCTAACAACTAGCAGAACATGCCCCAGAACGGTTTCTGTAACCAATTTTAGCAGTTTTAGCTAAGACTGGCCTCACAGCAACTGCAACACTAGGCATAATCTGCTTTTTTAACAATGCTTGTAAGTTACCTGGAAGGCAATTCGAACTTTAGTAAAGAAAACCCCTCTGCAATAGCGGGATCTTTCCAAAACATGTTGGAAGAACCATGTTGGATCAACATAAACCATGCTACCTAAACGATATTAACGCTGGCGTTCGCACCTCTCATGGAAAAGCCATAGAGAAATGCTAAAATAACTACAGTGTAAATTAAAAAAAAAAAAAAAGGGGGGGGG